CCGCCCGCCCGGGGCTCACAGCTTTCTGCAGGTCCGAGTCTCCCCTCCTCAGGGCTCCTGGGGCAGAGGAAGCAAGTCACCATCTGTGCGTCAGACTGCAAAGGGGCAAGCCCGAGAGCGCTGTGCTCCAGGAGCCGGAGCAGCGCGAACCCGCAACCGGGAGCGGGGGTGGGGGGTGGGGTGGCCAGGGTGAGGTGAGGCGGGGCTGACGCCCGCTGGGCCGGGCGTGGTCCTGGGGCGCCTGGACAGGGGCCTCACGTGCCCGGCTCCCTGAACTAGACGTGTGGGAACAGACGCGGCAAGACAGTGCTGCCGGACCCCAGCTCCCGCGGGGCGGGGGCGTGGGGGCACACTCACGCCGGTTGCTCTGCTCAATGAGGCGCTGGCAGTACTCCAAGGCCTTCTCCCGCAGTCGCTCCTGGGGGGGCAGCAGGCCGCTGGCGGTGGAGGCGGCAGAGAGCACAGACAGGGTGGAGCCCTCCAGCTCCGACCTGTCGTCTGCGGAGAGACACGAAGGCGCTCAGGACGGGGGGTGCTCCACACGCAGAGACTCCTGCCCAGGGTGGGGGGCAGCGACATCTCAGAGGCAGGTGTGGGGCCCGACGCCCCGCCTGGCTCCCTTGCCCTTGCCGCTGCCGTGGCTTGTGCTGTGTAGATCCCTGCCATCTACATTCCAGTCGGAGGGCGGAGGAGCTCGGGGGATCTTCAGGCCTGCTGGCGGCTGCACTAGTGGACCCTCGGCGCCTCCAAGTGTCTGGGAGGCCTCCTGGAGCCATCCCGGCTCCGCCAGGCGGCCAGCATCATCCAGGGCCGCCCGGACGCCTGTGCCCTCACCCACCTGCATCTGGGGCGCCAGCGCCTTGGGGGTCGCTGTGCAGAAGCCAGGCCCGCAGCATGGAGAAGGCCTGCACATTCAGCCACTGGTCCTCCGTGAAGTGCTGGCCAGTAGAGAGCACCGTGAAGAAGTCGGTGGCTACTGCACCATCCACCTCGGTGATGGGGCCGGGCTGCAGAGGCGAGAAGGACAGACACGCTGCAGGCCCCGGGCTGGGCGGGGCTGGGGCTCTGGGGCCAGGCAGGACAGGCCGCGGGCTCTCAGCTTCTCATGAAGGGCCACTGCCTTGCTTGCCCACACTGAGCGTGGCTGTCGATGCTTCTAGAATAAGGAGCACCCCTCCTTTGTGAGACACACAAATGCTGGGGTTTGAGTCAAGCATACGGCCTCCTCCAGACACGTGCTCCTTGTCCATAGGCCCTAGGCCTCAACAGAGCACCCTGGGCTGGGGAGCTGTGACCCAAAGCCCCACCCCAAAAGGGAGGCAGGAAAGGGGTCATTCTGGAACCAGGGCAGATGGAGGGACAGACAGGAGGAGCAGTAGGTACCCTTCTGGCAAGGGTGGTGGTCAGGGACACCCAGGGCCAGCGAGGGTCTAGGGTCTCTCCCGCCTCCTCACCTGCCGGGCTCTGGGTGTGAAGAAGCCTCCGGAGGAGTGTGCCACCCCCTGCTGGACACTGGCATAGCGGAGCCAGTCCACCAGCCTCTTGTTGAGCAGGTTGACCTGGTCTGGGGAGGAAGAACACTGAGACACTTGCAAATCCCATGACTGAGGCTGCGGGACTGGCCGCAGGGCTGGCCTCAGTCCTAGTGCTGAAGCAGCTAGTCCCCACAGAGGCCCCCGCCAGGCCCCGGGGGAAGGGAGGTGCATGGGTCTCTTAGGCAGGGGTGTGAGTACCTTCATGGAAGGTGCCTGGGGCCAGGCTGGCGACCTTCCCCAGGACCGGGAGGAGCTGCCTCAGACTGGGGCCCTCAGGGTGCCGGCTCTCCAGGACTTTGAAGACGCGCTGGCCCACGCCTCTGGCCTTCTCGCTGTCACCCTGCAGGATGAGCAGGGGTGGCAGTGAGGCACTGTCCGGCCACGATTCCGAGTGCATCCCGTCCTTTCTGGACAACCTCCTGCAGGCAGGTCCAGGCTGGACGCCACAGCAATACCAGAAGGGCAAGCCCAGGCCAGCAACGTCCGCACAGGGGCGGGTGAAGGGAGCGCCTGTGGCCCCGGGAATGGAGTTCTGCACTCTGCGGTCAGGGACAGGGTGACGCAGCAGCTGGTTTCTCCACAGAGCTGGTGCTTAAAGGCTCCGCAGCCTAGGGGAGCCGCCACACAGGGTCGGCCTGTGACCTGCAGGGGTGCAGAAGGACACAAAGGTGGCGGCAGCGAGTCGGAGCTGGAGCCTCCAGGAATGAGGCTGGCTGCAGTGAGGACAGAAACCCTCCCAGGAGCGGTTCTGGGCCACCAGGGGCCCCTGAAGAAAACGGGCTGAGCGTGACAAGAACAAGGGGCCCGGGTCTCTCTCGGTCACGATTTTCCTGGGGTAAGCTCGGGCAACTTGGGAGGTACCACTGGTCAAGGCGGGGTGCTACAATGAGGTCCCGATGAGGGCAGTGGACTGCGACACCCCAGTGTCTGCATCCGCCCTGCCTAGTGCCCAGAGGAAACCGATGGGGTGTCAGGGAAGCAGCATGTGTCTGAGAACTGGAAACAGAGGGACAAAGCCCAGAGCCGTAGGCCTCCTGCATGCACGCCCAGCCGCGAGCAGGGAGCAGAAGCAGGGCCGGGTGGGGAGCGGCGGCCGGCAGCGAGCGGGGACAGAGGCCGCTCAACCTCCCAGGGTTCAACCTCCCAGGCCACCAGCTGGACGCCGCACCGAGAGCTGCGGGTGCCACAGAGAGAGGCCTCTAGGTCCCCGCAGGAGGGACGCAGTCCTCCCCTCAGGAGAACACTGGCAGGCACAGAGGTCACCATACCTGGAATTCGTATCTAAATAAAAAGGGGGTGAGTACAGGCGGGAAGGGAGGCCAGAGACAGAAGGAGCGTCCCCGGCTGCTGGCCTCATGCACTTCCGAAGGGGGCCTGCACGCAGGCTGCTGCCAGCCTGGCGCGGCTGCCGCCATCAACATGCATGGGCCAGGGCCCCGCCCGGTCAGCGAGCTCCGGCCCGTCAGGACGTCCAGCGGGTGCAGTGCACAGTGCGCACCGAAGCCCAGCCTCTCTCTCGGGCCCACGCTACCAAGAACCTCTCTGGAAACCAGTGTTCTCCACTACTGAGTTCCTGACAGGTGGTCTGAGACATCTGGAAACGTCTGGAAAAGGGACTTCAGGTTCTGAGTTGCCGCTACATGCCTTGCTGGATTCCATGATGCCGCCTCTTACAGGCATCTAGGATGCTGCATCGGCCCGGGCCCTGCAGCCTGAATCAGCCTTCCCAGAGTCCCCACTCCCTCCCCTGAAGCAGGTGTGTGTGGCAGGGAAGTCGGGCGATGCTGCCCATTCCAGATATAACCACATGTTGGAGGTACAAAGCAGTGTTAAAACTGTTGACTGCAAGGAGACCCCCCAGCTGAGCTGCCCGCAGTCACCTGGGCCAGAAGCACAGATGCCGTCAGGCTCAGCTGCTGGGTGCTCTGGATATTCTCACAGGACAGGCTCAGGCTATCGGAGGGCGACATCTCTCTCAGGATGGCGGCGCAGAGGACCTGGAGCTGCTCAGGGCAGGTGGTGGGGGAGCAGAGGGCAGCCTGCAGCAGGTCCACGCACGTCTTCTCCAGCCTGCCAGGCAAGACCGTGGTGGGCAGACGGGCACCCACTAACCGAGGGCCTGACTCCCTGCTGCTCCCTGTCACCCCCCAGAAGGTGCCCGGTCCCTTTGATAGGTGGCAAGAAATTAAGATATCTGGAGACCTTCGGCCCTGGTTTGGAGGGCGTAAGGCTCAAATGCCAAGGGAACATGGGTATACCTTGCTGCACGCACTGGGTTCACCCGCACTGGGGGCAAGGCCCAGGCTGCAGTGCCCAAAGACCAGACACTCACTTCCTGGGGTATTTTGTGGCAGAGATGATGAGGAAGAGCCTCCGCAGGCTGTCAGTGGCTTCCGGCCTCCAGTCCTCCTTCTGTAGCAGTTTACTGATCCGGGAGCAGAACTTCCCCAGCTCCTCATCCTGGATCTCCCTAAATGAAGAAGAGACAGCGGGCACTCTGGCATGGGTCCTGCTCAAGGACCCAGAGGTGCTGCCCTGAGCTTCAATGGAATGACTCTTGAGTGTGGCAGAAGCAAAGGACCCCACCATCCACAATGCATCTTGGGCTAAGCTTGCTGACTGGTCACCCCAACTGGTCCCTGTCATTGGGGAGACTACAGGCAGGGCTGTCAGGGGACCATCACCCCCGTAATCTGCTACAACAAAGCGCAGTAATGGACACCCCCTGCAGCCCAGCTTTCTTATTCTGGGAGCCACAGAACTAAAGCAGATTGATTCTAGGCATCATATTCAAAAGTCAGGAACTTCAGTCTAAAATAAGTTGACTTTCAAAAGATTCCTTCAATCAGCCTCTAATTACTGAGAACAAGAATTAAATCTTATCTATTTAACTATATAAATATTATGATATATAGTAAGGATAACCTTTTATAATTTTTTTCTAAAACTTAATTTGCTTCATAGAAAATGTCTACAATGCATTGATAACAGGTAAGATATTGAACAAAGTATGAAAATGGAAGCCTTTTTTAGGTTTCTGTTCCAGTCCCAACAGCAAAAAAGAAAAAAAAAAAGGTAATATACCAGTCAAGTTTACTGCACCAGGGATGACTGTGATGGCAGGGAGGTGGTGTTTTGGAGGAGGCCCTGTTTCTCCCCACCTCCCCTAAGCAATGGCTGAAGCCCACTAATCCATTCAGGACCCTACTGGGCTGATGGTGAACTACACATGCCCAACCAGATGCCTCCAGACGGCCTGGCACTTGTAATTGGGACTCTCCCAGAATAGTAACTCTCACCCCAGTCATCCCTTGCCAATATATTCTCCAAATCACAGGATTCTTTCTAAAAAGCCAACCTATTCAAACCCTTCAATAGGTGCTCACACATGTCAAATGCAAATTCCTGCAGGTGCTAACATTCCTAACCCTCTTTCCTTTCCTGACCACCTTCAAATCCTGTTTCTCTTGCTTCTTCCTTCACCCAGACCCGTGGCCTGAAATAATCTGACTCCTTCCCCTAGTGGTTAACTTGCCACTTGTTTTTCCCCGCAAGTTCTTTTACGTGCTCTCATTTACCTAGCACCTGTCGTAGGCTGTACGTGCTGCCTTAGGAACATCTTATTCGATTCTCACCATGACCATAGTGATTATCAGAAGGTTGGCTTCTGATCTGTCTCATCCTTCTGGAAACCTCCCCAACCTTGCTATACCCCTCCTGCTTATTCGTGGCCTACTTTTCTCCTTTATTCTTCATCTTACAAGAGATAGTTCTGATAACCTTCCATGCGTGCTTTCCACTTCTGAAAAAGTTACAGAAACTAAAACACACTCCAAAAACTAACTTCCAAACTACAGAAATCTATTTCCAAGTGCTCCCAAATATCACAGGCTTAATAAAATTTAAAAGCACAATGAAAACTAATAAGAAATGATAATTATTACATTTCTTTAAATCCTAACAGAGAGGAATTGTCTGATACGTTTTATTTACAGATAGTTAACCATATTGTACCCAAACCCACCCACCTGCCTAAAGCAGAAATAAGGTCTATTCCTCTGCCTTTACTTCCATGAATTTATGATCTTGAGTAAAGAAGGTGAAAATCTACGTGGGTCTTAGTGTCACTTGAGAAGAACTTGGGTAAGCGTGCCATGTGTTAAGAGGCAGGTATTTAAAGATACCGGTTTTTCATTCAATCCAGTCCCTAAATACAAGAGAATCTGAACTGGAGTGTCAGGATTTGAATGTTGGTCCACCTGCCCCCAAAAAGGGAAAGACAAACTGTGCCAGGCTTAGTGGGATGCGGGCTACAATTCCCACACCACATTCCTAACAGATTCCCAAGGGTTATTTGTTTGATCCCAGAATCTTGTCCTGTTCCTGCACCGAGTCTGCAGGCAAGATCTTGCTTCACTGATTTTTGATGTTAAGTTTGCCAGAGGTTTGTGACTCTGGCTGCAGGTTCTTCTGTTAAACAAAGGGCATCAAGTCTTAGAATGTCTTATGGACTGAAGGACTTAGTCCTAGCCTACATTTTCCTTTCTTCCCGGATAGGTTAGCTGGCGAGGAAAGGCTGCCAGTCAGTGGGCCATCAGAACAGGGCACCACGAAACAGCGGGCAAGCAAGTCCTCAACCCAACGTACTCCCGCCCTCTAAGTCACAGAAGCCTCCCAGGCTGCCTGAAGCCCTCGGGACCGGCCGGGCAGACCCCGTGGGCTCTCCACGGCTCCATTCCCAGAGGCCTCCCCAGCTCTCCGTGGTTTGGGTCTCAGACCCTGCAGCAAGGACAGGTCCTTGCTACCCGCCCCCTGCCAGGTGTGCGGTTCTCGAGTGAAACAGCCGCGGGCTCCTTCCTACCCACTTCGTTTCCATTCAAAACGCTGCAGGGGAGGCAGCTCCTTCGGGGGCCAGTCCCACCGTCCCCGCCCATCCAACCCCGAGCCCGGCGGGTGTGGCGCCCCGCGCGCCGCTCCGAAACCCCCTCAGCAGGCGCCCCAAAGGAAAGGTGCGGAGCACCTGGCCTGGTGGAGCAGACTCTCGGCTCCCGCCGTGAACATCGCGCCGGGAAACGCAGCCCGCAGGCTCCAGCCGCTCGCGCCCGACAGCCTGAGTCCCGGCGACTTCCGGGTGGCGTCACCTGCCGCGTCACGTGAGCAGGCGACAGGTCGTCGACCAATGAGCGTCGGCGCAGCCTCTCGGGCGGGGGCGAGGCCGCCGGGGCCGGGGCCGCGGATCCGGGTAGGGCCGGGTCGCCGGCGGCGCGGAACCTCGACACCTGGCACCTGGCTTCGGGATCCCGAGACCCTGGCACCTCCCGACCCCGAACCTGGGCGCCCCGACCCTGGCTGGGCCCGGAACCTCTTACGCTGGGCGCCCTCAGGAGACGGAGGTCCGGTCCCGGCATCCTCGCCCTCGCGGGGCCTGTTCTTAGCGCGACCCGAAAACGCTGCAGTAAACCTGCGGCTCGTGGGTGCGCCCATGTCCGCTGCGAGGTGGGTTTTTCTTTATAACTGCGAGTTGAAAAATAATATTCATTTTTGGCATCTTTACTAGACTGGCATGTCCCCCTTTTCCCCTTGTGCTAACGGTTATTCCGCGCCACTTACTAGCACCGGTGTAGGTTGACCGCGCCGCTTTAAAAACAACGTAAATCAGGTTAACAGTATCCCACAGTTGAGGCAACACACTCAAAGAGGGGAAGTAAGTTTCTGTTAATCCTGAAAGTTAGGATTTAGGTTGTGACTGGCCACAGTAGTTCACCCTGCGGACTGTGTGGGGTCACAGGACCAAGCGCAGGGCAGTAACAACCTAGGGTGACAGCCCGAAACACCTTCACAGGGCAACATCTTGAGGGAGGAAGACTTCCAGAGCTGAGTCTATGACTGAACTGGGACAAGCATGAAGGGCCAAGGGTGAGCCAGTTGGTGGGACCTCACCCACATACTTTTGAGTCCAGGACATGACTCAAAAGCAGGCAACGGACAATACCAGGATTTATTTACAGGGGGAGTAAGAACAGGGAGAACGGAGAAGAGAAAGTGAATGGCAAGAGCCTTATCAGCTGGCACATGGCCAGACGTCTGTTTAGCTCCACAGTCTGCTGAGCCAAAGCCAGGTCAAGCCTAAGCCACCCTGGCAAGCGGGCAGCTTCTCTGAGGACACCTTTTTTCACCAGCAGTTTTTTTTTTTTTTTTAAGATTTATTTATTTATTTATGCATATAGAACTGTGGTGTAGGCCAGAGGTGCAGGGGAGGTGAGAGGGTTCATCAGAGACAGAGTGGGGAGCAGAACAGGCAGATCAATGAAGTACACTGCTGAGGGGAGCAGCGGGCGCATCAGGGGTCAGGAGAGGTCTGC